TACATTACATAATATGTGAAAATGTGATTTCTCAAATCACTTGTCTCAAATTGTTTTGTCACTTGTCTCATGATGTCATTGCTTGAAGGACACGTAGCACCGTAGTCTGGTAAGGCACGTCAGGAGCTTTTCTGTATAACTTATATAAGTGAGCGGCTCGAAACTTTAGACACATGAGAACGTCACCCCCACACTTGAATAAAAGGTAGTAAAACATATTGTTGTAACATACAGTCAGACAACATATTGAAATTAGTTACGAAACAGAAAATAGGTAACGTTTAAATTTTATTACTTATTTTTAATCGCCTTCAATAAAATAATAGCCTTTATTCTGGCTAACTGTAATAAAATGCGTAATAATAATAATAATAATGATGTCATGAAAATTCTTCGTAAAGAAGAATTTAAAATACAATTTAGAAATAAATGAAAGCGTTGGAAACGTGTCGGGCTGAAGCTAACTGAGGCGTAATAAATTATAACATTATTATGGAATCCACGTTCCTATAATTTTTTTTAAGGTAGTCAAGCGTGAAGATATTGTATCTTCCCTTGCGAATTTCAATTTTAGGTTTTTTAAACATCGTGCTTATCACTCGTTGGCCCAGCATACATATATTTTCATGTATTTAATTTATCTTCTGACATTTTTATTCAACATAATAAAAGAAAAATGATTGGTCAACCTTTTAAGATGTCAAGAGATGTACCTATATCAAAGTTTACTAAACAAACAAAAAAGCTTACTTTTACGTTTATTTAAGTATAGAAGAATTTATTTATCTTTGTAAGAAAGTCGTCTGCATGTGTATTATTGTCCGACTCGTGCTTCTGCCTCGAAGCAGCTGTGCTTACATAGCTGTGTTTCGGTTTAAAGGATGGGATATGGCAGTGGAATCACAGGGTACGAAGGCTTAACATCATTATTCTGAGGAATGGTAACGCCTGAGATGGTAACACGGGCATCACAGTGTATAATTATGTCTATGTTGCTGGTCATATATTCTATAGGCGATGGTTAACACTTACCATCAGATGAACCATCTACTTTTATGCCATTCTGTCCATGTATTGTATTGGAAGACATTTTCACATTCTTGGATTGGATACTTACCACTACTATTATGCATATCACTTTCCTTTGATGTCCTTGTTCCTTTGATGTACGTATTTACCGTATCAAATCATTTGTATGTGGATGATATGATTGAGTCGTGTAGCACGTTATATTTCCTTCAATTTATAGCATGTTAAAGTCAACGATATTCTATAGAAAAACTATATTAACTGATGTAGTCCGAAGTATTCAAGCAAAGAATCTAAATTTGAAGTGGTAGTTAACAGGTTACATATCTCGCAAATAACTAGTGGAATAGGAAGGTTCTCGAATGAGCGATTTTAAAAATGTTGCTATTAGGATTCAGGTGGCTTAGGAGAGCATACTTTGTAACTAAATGTAACTAAAATTGAGGTGGGGATTATCTAATAGCTTAACATAGTTTTCAAATGAATCACAATTCTTACTGAACATTTATTCGAAATATTCTAAAATCGGCGATTGGTCAGTATTACAATACTTTAAAATATATTGATTTAGGAATTCATATTTTAGAATTCAATTATATATATTAATAAATATATAATATGTATTGTAAATATCATAATATAAATATAAAACATATGATTATTAAAATTAATTCGTTCACACTAATTAATTTAGCACAATTATATACACATGACATGACACATGTAACTACTAATAAATTACATATTATGCACATTTAAAGTTTCATGTAATATTGAATAGGATACAATGCATTGAGTGCTGCTATTTGTTGTTTGGTTATTTACCATATACTATATACGAAATATTTACTTACAACTTCACATTCAAATAAAAGGAACCTTATTTGTATGCGAAAAAGCTATGGGTGTAGAAGAAACAGGCAGGAAGAAAAAATAAAATACGATTATCTATAAAGAAATACGATGCAAATTTATAGCCCGCGGAAATAAATGTTTCGTCATTTGTAACTTACTGATTTTTACAGTTGACTAACGCATTTTGTTTTTATCTTTTTTGTTTAATAAATGAGCATAGTAAATTACACGACAGCAGTCGTAGGATTAATACTAAATTCGTAGGAATAAAGCATACAGGACTAAAACGTAGTCAAGCAGCTATGTGCATACATAATAAATTATTTTTAATTGTTATTGTAATAGTGAAGCTGACATAACTTCTTTTTAGAAATGTAGTGAATGGAATTGTTAGCTACTTATATGTCCCTCTTTTTATATAAGTAGGACTTGACATGAATCCCATACTGAATGATAAAATGGCAACTGGCAACATTAAGTACGGTCTAATTATCATAACAGTTTGCGTAAAATTTTATCCCATGGGTTTATTATGTGGACAGTGATTACCATTCTCGTAAATTGACTTTTAGCCCACTCATTTCAGGGGTGAGATCTGAATAACAGGAAAGAACCACTAGTGATTTTACTATTTTAAGTGTTATGTTTCACTTTACCCATATATCTACTACACTTAATCGTTATACATTTTGGAAACCAGTGTCGTGTTCTTATGCGCTTTACTATCACAGTTATATGAGATTTACTTAACTACTAAGTATATTTTAACCGATCAAAAGTAGGTAGTTACTTTTATTTTTATTGCAATACTTTTATTTTTATACTTATGACTGGTTGAAAGTTTTAATTGTAACGTATACATATATACATAAAATATAATTAGAAAACATTGTTATGAAATGTATACATCCGATTCACATTTTTTGAAATTATGGCGCAGCTAGCCTGAATCTTATTTATTCGTTTGAGACATACATTCTAGTCTAGCCTTTTCAAATTTTAATAACAAGAAACATTATTTATTATACGATAGCTCTATCCAAAGGCTATGCCATGGTAGTACGACATCAAAAGCATTCAAGCTACTTTCAGATTTTCTACATTGTATTTATTACGAGAACATGTACGAGGTTTGTCCGGAAAGTACGTATAAAAGTTTTTTAAAAATTTTATTTTACAATTATTCAGGTAAATCAATTTTATCCCCTTCAAAGTACTCCCCCTGTGACATAATGCACTTGTGCCAACGCCGTTTCCACTGTGAGAAGGCTCCTTGAATGTCCTCTGGTTGTAGGTTTCTCAGCTGCCCCGTGGTAGCTTTTTTTATCTCATTTATGTCCCCGAAATGCCGCCCCCGAAGTACCAATTTGGTTTTTGGGAACAAGAAGAAGTCACACGGGGCCAAATCCGGCGACTAGGGGGGTGTTCGGTCACCGTAATGGAATTTTTACTCAAAAACTCACGGACAACAAGAGAGGTGTGGGCAGGGGCATTGTCGTGGTGAAGAATCCAACGCCCCTCTCGCGCCAATTCTGGACGAACTCGTGCCACACGAGCTTTGAGGCGTCTGAGCACATCGACGTAGAATTTTCCATCAACTGTCTGGCCTGGAGGGACGAATTCGTCGGAATGTGAAGTGGAAGGACGTCCTGAACGTGGGTCATCTTGAACGCTTTCTCGGCCCTCTCTGAATCTTTTTAGCCACTTGTGGACGGTTGGTTCCTTCACAGCATCATCCCCATAAACTGTTCTGAGATCGGCAAAAATTTCACGGCCATTCTTGCCGAGTTTCGAGAGAAACTTGATTACGACGCGCTGCTCTTCAACGGAAGCGGGCTCCATGCCGACGGGGTTTCGTTAAGAGGTAACTTCACAGATGGCGTGACAAGCCAGTTCGCACCGCACGGCGGTCAGACCAGAACTGAAGCATTGTTAGGGACATAAGGAAGGGGTCCTGCGCTTACCTGGCCTCCCCACTCCTCTTTCTCGCATTCCAGAACACTTTTATACGAACTTTCCGGACAGACCTCGTAAGAATAAATTAACAATTTGATTTCGAGGCACCTTTTTGATGTATTCGTGTGTAATGCGGTAAAATGTATGCAAATGAAATCATATATCTAAATATTTTCGTATTTTATTACGAATTTGATGAGATTGAGGCACAGACAATACGACATTATTAGGGAATGTTTGTGTTTGCCAGTTATCTTAAGTAACAAAGTATTAAAATGAAACATTACATGTGACCCTAGTTATAACAAATATTAAATGGTAATAATATTCGGGTTGACGTAAATTTTAAACACCGTTAAATATTATTTGTGGTGACTTTGTTCTGAGCAGATTTTATTCATATTATATAAAATAAATATAAATATTTTGTATAGTTTAATGTACAATTTATTGATAGAATTAGTTTCTTTTTATTGAAACTCCCAGTCTCAGAATATGCTCTATGCTCTAAACCTTAAAATGACGTTTAACTCGAGCAACTTTTAATGAGAATGCTGATTGATAATTCAATAGTAATAGGAAAATAGATTATTCGAAATTAAATCATCAGAAATACCATATTTTCGGCAAAATGTAGTATCTAAATAATGATGCATGTTTATTTTTTACAGCGATGTTACGCTGATCTATATATCCATACTTCTATAGAAGAATTGGTTAAACTTAGGGTTGGTACCTACCTCAGAGTTATAATTTTTTTTTTTTTGTTTTTATTTTACATTCCGTGTACAAGACTACATTTCTACCAAACACATCTGGAGCTAGATCACATACATATACACGATTGACAGTTTAATCGAATACCTACTTATGTGTACTAAGTAAAGGTACCTTATATATTTATTAGTACCTATTTAAAACATTTTCTATTTTTATTAATTTGACCTGTACTTTTGATTTTGACAATATCTAAATAAATTCATTATAGCATATAATGAATTTGTTCTTTGTTGACATGTTTACTAAACAAAATACAAATTAAAGATTTCTTATTTATTTTTGTATTCATACCTATACTGGTATTATTATAGATTATGATGTTATATTTGCCTAATTTTTAATTGAAAAATTCAATAAAAATATGCCAACATTGTTCACTGACTATGGTATGTAAATAAAAAAAACGAGATTATACATGTATGTAGTTATAAATTATTAGTCTTTTTCACTCATACTAATAAATATTTTTTATTTAATTTTCTGCCATCCAATCTTTACCGTCTTATTATAAAACACATTTTTCTAACAATTACATTTTTTTTTTACATTTCGATGCCAATTTGTTTAATTTTATGAATACCTACGGTATTAATTTATATCACGGTATCACGCATTGATGTATACCTCTTCCTTCTGTTTAATCGGATAATCTTTGGGAGGTAGCTTAAAGCTATTTCTAAGGTAGGAAAAGCGATGAAAATTATAGTAATATTCCTTGCCGTCAGGAGAGTACTGTGGGTATAACGTGTATGACGGGAACTCCAAATCAGTCAAGGAGGATGCGAGGGCGTGCTTCGCAAACTCCTCTTTGTATCGTCATGACTGTTCTTTGTAAGCCTGTCTTTTTGTGCATTTCTCCTTAAGTATGTAGCAGAGAGCAATAGCTATAAGCACTGCTATCGCTATCGCCATGCTTATGCTGATCCAGATAATCTCTTCGTTTATTCCGCTCGTTGATTTTCCTAAAACAACAAACGGATTAGTTGTAAAGAACTGTTGAACACTTCTGTGAATATAATAATGTTATAATTAGATACTATTTAGTATATAAGTATTTAATGGACAATAATATTATATTACTGTACTCTTTGGTAATATTAATAATATTCTATATATTCCCTAAATATTGTATAGAATAAATAAATTATAGAAATTGCCGGTTACATATACACGGTTTGGGTATAGGCATAAGAACAACCTAATCCTTATTCTTACGGTATGGGTTTAAACGTCACTTCGAAATTTTTTCATCATCATCATTTCAATATATGTAATATTTACAGCGTGATTGAGTAACATGTAAACATCTTTATATGAGCTTTTACATTTTTCAATTAGCTGTATCCTGCAACTTCATCCAGATAAATTGTATGTGTTAAATTAGAATGAAATCTGTGAACAAGACTTCATTAAATTTCGTTTACTCATTGAGTAACAAACATTCATTTTTACAAACTTACGCTTTTATGTATTAGTAGGATTAAGTAGGATTCTCCGTTTACATCATATTAAATTATGCTAAGCGCTTAAGCTTTCTTACGCCCTTTCACGGCATTTGACGGAATTAAGCTAAAATGGTAAAAATATTTCATGGCTTTTTTGTATTTAAATATTATTCTAACAGACTCACGTCTAAAAATACATAGTGATTAATTAGTTGTTAGTTAAAATATCAAATAATGAACAAATCTTTAATAAAACAAATAATTTAATATGCTAAATATTAATTTTATCTATTTATAATAGAAATAGTAATTATATATATTGTTCTTAGATTTAGCTAGTGTATATTAAAATATTTTCTTAGAATAACGCACATTTATAAGCATCTTTGATGAGGAATTTCTAATATGATTTTAACTAAGTGAATATAAAATTATTTTTTTTAAAAAATCGTAACAGAACTGTAGTAAAAATCAAATGGTAACAAATAACCTTAGATTACAACCTTGTGTAGTTAGTATAGTGAGAGCACAATAATAGTACAGTATAAATAATTATTCCTTCCTTTGTAATGTAATGTAAGTAAATACATAATATTTTTATCATGTTTTGTAAGTTAAATAGTCAGTAATAAAATTAGAATATGTAATAATTTTTCTATTGAATTGCTAATTAATAAACGTCATTAATTATCCAATAAATATAAAAAAGGATTTAATTTCATATAAATACCTAGGGGTGTGAATGTATTACGTAAATATTTGTTCTGTAACCCGTTTTAAAGTATAAATAAATTCGAGCTATAAGCTTTGCATCTCATTTGCATTTTGTTTAATTAAGATTTTAAACGAACCCTTTATGTTTATCTAACAATTAGCAGTGTATGTAAATAATACCATTTTATGAAAATTACCAATTCATTTATGAAACATTGACTCAACCTCTTTGGTTCAGTGGTAAGTACCATTATACATTGTACATTATTGCCTGTGAGGTTCTGGATTCGAAACTTTGTTGGATTAATGTAAGAAACAAACATTTCTAATTTAACTCGGTCCAGATTTTCATAACAAAGGGTACCTTAATTTATGGACCAGGTGATTGATGTGTATAATGATATTAATTATTGCTTGTTGATTATCAAAATGTAAAGAGATTTTTAAGAGGTATAAATGGAATGATACATTAACGCTGACGTGGTATCAGTGAGGGATAACAGATGAGGATGTAGTCAGGTCGTTTAATCTACTGTGACGAATTGTACGATGGCTTCCAGGAGAAATTATGTCGAAGTCGACCTGATATTGCTAGCAATGGGGATTAATATTTCTGTTACTAACTATCCACTCTCTGTCAGCGCACACGGTAGTAGCCGTTCGCCTTTGATGTAAAATCGTTATAAACTACTATACGTCATTAATCAATATTTCCATTATCTTTAAAAGTACTATTTTTGTCAAAATTTAAAGCAGGATTTAATTTTTTCAGAAAAATCTCTTTTGAAAAAGAAAGTAAACTTCGATAATGTAAAGAGGACCGCGCCGATTACAAACCCATGCTATAATCGGGAGGGAAGAGTAATGGGGACTACCAGTCCCATTACATGCGATATACCCTGTCAAGTTGACCTCCCCGTGGTCCCTCCTGGAAACCATCGTGCTGAATGCCAGGTGTATCCATCACGATGGGCTAACTGACCTGCCTTTTCATTCGTCACTGGTGCTCCACCAGCGTATACCGTTAGCGCAGGCGGGTTTACCATTTCATTATCATCCACAAAAAATAAAACCCACGCTATAGTGGCGTAGTATGGGTTTGCACTCTAATTTTCTATCAGCTAGTTAGCTCTCAGGAATGGTAATGTTTTAGAGTTAATATGAATTTTATATATTTTTTGTGATATCCATGGTGTTTTTTCCTGTGTTTATAAGCGTCCATTATCTCAATTCATCAGGTGGGCTATTAGCTTGTCTGCAATTCTAAATTATGTATATAAAAAATAAATAGGTAGCTTTATTACATACTAGCTGTATTCCGCGGCTTCCACCATGTAAATTAGTACATTAAGTATTCTATGTACTAAGTTATATATAACTAGTAAGATATAATTTACCCGTGTACTATATTTTATTCAAATCCGTTTAGTAGTTTTTGTGTGAAAGATCAACAAATATCAATGAATCCGTCCTTACAAACTACGCCCCTTACGCCCCTATACAAATTGTGGGACAATCTTTATTTGCCAAAATATCTTCAATAATGTCTTTCTAATATTCACCTCTTCGTAGGGTCCAAACAAATGTTTAAATATCAAATAAGACGTTATTATTTGTAATGTAATGTAATCTGTTATGTCCATGGTACTGCCCATGTCTATAGGCGACGGTTACCACTTTCGTCAGCATGTTTGTCATTCTAAGTTACATAAAAAAAATTGGGAAAGTCGTAAATTTCAACATTACGAGTTTGTAACTATTACAATAAATGAATGAATGAACAAACTAACGATTTAACGAATGAATGAACGAACGGATGAATGAATGTATAAAAAAAGAAACACTGACCTCCCTTCTTGTTGGAGTAGCCGCCCATCTTGCCGGCGACGCGCGCCGACACCTCGCCCGCTGTCACGAGCACGACGGCACTCGTACGGCGCACACTCACCCTGCCTGTATTATGCATACCAATATTATACCACTTGTGAAAATACCAGTAATAATACAGGGAAAGTATAGTACCATAGTTCTCAGTGATGACGATTACCATGACCTCGCAATGTATTAATGTCTATGGTGCTATTCATATTTATAGGCGATTGTCACCATTTTCCATCAGATAGATCGTCAACATGTTTGCCCTATTCTTAGATTATATTGAGCCTGAAAAACGGGTCAACTTTTTGTCAGGTAAAACTCAGATCAATACAAACAAATATATACATGAATGAATATATTATATATATATTCATTCCCTATTCCCTAAATAATATTTATATTATTTAGGGATTGAACCCACGATCATCAAAAGATAAGTCAATAGGTATGTTTGTTAAACCTAGAGATTTAATTCACGACCAAATTCCCTAAATAGATATAATTTTATATGTAATTTACGAGATAGGTTTGTAGAGTAATATTTCAGAATAGATCTTACTGTAACAAAAATCAACGAACGCAATTTGTTTACCTAAACAGGGTGTAACGGACTCATGAAAATTTTTTTTTTTCAATGAACATCGTCGAAATTTCAATCGTTTATAACGTGGTCTCAGTGTACCTGACCTCAACCTCACATGTTAATCAGATGATTTACATGTGAGGTTCAATAATCTATTACTTAATTGTAAAATAATTAATTTATTCATGTTTAATTAATAATGAACCCATGTGGAAATCAGTGTATTTTTTTTATAAATATCTATTCTAACTATGAAAAGAGATTTCCTTAATATCAACCCCAAAGTCTTACTTTAGAGATTGATTTTCGTAAAACATTTTTCAAAAACTAATATTTAGATTTGTATGAAAAATATATGTAGTATATGTAGTAATGTAAATTATAGATCTAAAACATGTACTGTTTATACGTTTGTTTGTTTCAGATAATACAAGAAAAATAAAGTGAGTAAAATAATATAAATAATATTTGGTAAAAAGGAAAATACTGTAGAAAACCTCTCTACGTCTACATAAACGAAGTTACGTGAGTTTATGCAAGATTTTTTCATATTCACTATTATAGACCCAATGAAAGGAGAAGATGTGAAGTTATATTCATTGCTGTTATATTTATTTACACTTTATGTCTTTACAAGAGAAATGAAATTGGTGGAATAAGTAGAATAATAACAGAAAAGTTCGCTCAACCATACAATTAAATATTTAATAAAATATCATTATGAAACAAAATCCTATTAGTTCACTCATTGCTAGATAATTGTCCGCGGCGCTACTTTGGTAGCGTTAGAGAAAAGTGCTATGCACTTTACCGAAATAATAAGCAATCGCGCCAGTTAATATAATTATTATCCCAATCAGTAATCGATCGCGTTGTTCACGAGTTGAACACGTAGCGACTGATAATTGCTAAGTAATTATAAAAGATAATATGTGGATGGATTTCGGATTCATTAAACAGCACAAATCTGAGAAGACTTATTGATTATATACCAGCATATATATACATTTCAAATAATTATCCAAAATTTAAAGACATTTATATTTGTTAATGACTGCTTACCTGTTACGGAATATAAATCATCGATTTCCATTATTATGAACAGATTTAAGTGGTTTTTAACCGATATGAGTCAAGTTTATTCCTAAACATAATTACGCGAAGATAAAATGTTTTTTTTCTCGTAGTAAAATAATCTTAAAATATTATATAACATTATTTATATTAGGTGTACTTAGTTTATACGTCAATTCCGTTTTACATTTAAATATCACCTACAAGATACAAATCCACTTAACCCATAAACGTACTTTACCTATAAACTTAATCTTAACCTAATCAAAATTGATCTTGATTAATCAAACATCCGTTTTCTGATACCAGGCCGTTTTGCTTGGCGGTAAACTTAATTAAACCCTTCTCGTAAACACCATTAATCCACGTTTCCAGCTGACGATATGTAGATTAAATACTTAGGTAATTTCTACCAATTGACGTCGGGTGCAATCCTCCCATTTATTTTTAGGCCTTACAATGTAAATTTAATTAAACACATCTAAGAAAGTAATGAAAAAATCTTATTTATGGGGGTTAAAAAATAATGACAGAAATGGCAAAAAAAGAATGTTCTTAATAATTATGGTAAATTTATTTTGGTTACATATCTTATTAGGGTTCAAAGAAAATGCGTATTTACCGCAATATATAGAACGAAGGAATAATAGATAAAAAACATACCTTCAGTAAACCCCAGTAAGTACAAAATTGAAAGCAATTTGCTACATTCGTATTTTGATTGCATTATTACCAGTCTCAGCTTTACAATTAGGTTTTATTTTACAGAAGTCACGTAACTGACGTTTAAATATCGAAATAGATTTTGCACGTAGAGTGTTTAAGTTTGTTAGTACAATAAATAAATTTGTATAGTAATTGTAGTTTCACCACTGGGCATGAGTCTTACAAGAGGATAATATTAACCTATTAAGCTGTCCAGGCGCCCCTGTACAAGATTTTTTTAGAGGTTTAACATTTTTACGACGTTACTTCTCCTACGATGAACTTACTCCGTCATCACATGGAGGATTTAATAATTAAATTGGAGGGTAATAAATAAATAATGCACGCAATAATACACGCTGCGCAGTTAAAAGATTGATTTAGAAAGTTAATTTCGAAAATTGTTTTCGTGTCTCTCGAGGAAAATTGTTCAGTTTCATGAATATTCGTTCTATTTCGGCTTCTTATATATATTTTTGGTTAATTTGAAATGAAAAGCAAATAATCTTTCTTTAGAGATGGTAATTGCCTATTAGGTACAACAAATAATACATTTCAGGATTACGATTTATTTACTTACCCATTATTGCCATTTTGGATATTCTCGATCGTAGCAAAATCTAAATCTTATTTCTTCCTCAGTTACGCTGACAAAGTCATTGTTGGAAACTCTTCATTGTGCACCTATGGACAAAATTTTGTTTAATTAATTTTAATGAAATATAAACACTCACAGGATTAGTTGTTGCTATGGTAACAGAAATTTAATGAAAAGGTAATCAATTTTCGTTCAAATTATCACAGAAATACTCTCTAAATTGAAATTAATAACAAACAGAAACATTCAAGTAATTAATTGACTTTTCATTTGTTGGACATTATTTCTATATTTAATCATGTCATTAGTCGACGAATCAGGTCAATCGTTGGTATATTTTCATTTTCATTAAATCGTTGCCGTCCCTAAAGAAGCCTTAATATACTTTTTAATAAACTTTATACTGTAGTCTCTAGGGAAAACCTCCACAAAGTTCATCCCACAGCCTGAGCATTCGCGGGAGAAAATTCCGTTGAAACCGCACTGTACGTGACCATTTAGGTTCAAGCGTGTGAGGATGAATTTCATGTCGATGGCGAGCGATGCAATGATAAAAGGTGGTTGTGGGCATCATTTTAAACAATTCCTCAGAACAGAATCCTTTATATAAGCGGTAGAACACACATAGGGAGGCAAACTCTCGCCTTAAATTTAAGGGCTCGATACCACCATCTATATATTCAATTAGCTTTACGGAAACTACTGAAACGCTATGGTAATTTGTAGCCGTGGACTTTAGAAATAGAAAAACCGCGTATCGAGATAAAACACACACCAGATTTAAGTTAGAACTTTAGGATTACATTTATGAAAATCGAATCTAATTTGATGCAGTCATTTTTGTGTAATAACGGGACAATACAGATATATAGACAGGCAGACTGGCAAAATTATGGTACTAAAAATTATTGTTTAAGATCCCTTTGCTTTTATTAAGGCCCTTTATACGAGTATAATTTTTTTTTAATATTTCCCATGCACAGACATCGTTTAGTTACAATTTTATCATATTATATAATATTAAGTAAAATGGCATTTATTTCAAAACGGGCAAAGATCTTAATTAGAGAATTTTATCTGTTTTGTTTATTAATTTATACACACTGTTTATTTGTAGTGAACACTAGTAGTGTTTTGTACAAATAAAACGTTTCCTCGGATTAAAAGATATCTTAAAGAGCTGACATTTTTTTTTTATTTTTGTTATGAACGGTTAGTACGTTTTTATGAATATATTTACTACAAAATATATTTTATGCAATTGTATACATACTTTTAAGTGAAAATAAAAAAATCTAAAATACAGGATACCTCAATATGATCCGCTAAGAAGATGCAAGAAATAAGGTTTCTTTATACAACCTTTACTTCCATGGTGAAATTTGTATAAATAAAACGTATTTCTTTAGCGGATTAAAGATGATGAAACACTGTATAAAAATATAAAAGCGTGCAAAGAAAAATAAAAACGCCGTAATGTACAGAACGAAATTTCGAGCTTCTTATTTTGTAAATAACATACAATCATTTATCCTTTACATACATTTACATGCGAGTGAAGCTATGGGCTATTATAGTTAACTACATACGTATAAAATGAAAAAAAGACGTTATTATCCTCTAATACAGTGATGATGAACTAATGCAAGTTATTATGGAAGCAATAAATGATTGAATTGAATTGAATTGAATTATAATGTTAGATGGATATTATATTACATATATTTATAAATCATATATATATTTTGATATAATTGTCAAGACCATTACAGTTATAAAATGTAAATTGGAATCCTGTTGAGGGATAAGTAACTATTGACTACAATAAAGAGGATTTAGCTGAGAGATTTCGATTTGTGATTTATTTGTTTATATGTATTATGTATCTTCGCCAATTTCTAAACCAATTTACTCTGTGTTGATCTCATATTAATATTGATTTGATCGACCTTCCTTTTTATTTGCAGAGCAAAATCTGACTTATTGTGTAATACACTCGCGAGCAACCAAATCGACTCAACCCTTGACGGCGCACATATGCATTGATTTTACTAAAACGACAAATGTTAATTATAAAAATGATATGGCATTCGAAAGCTTAAGATGTCAGCTTTAATTAAATATCATTATTATCTATGAAATATTTCATTGTTTTTCGGCGTGTTTAATTGATTTGTATTTTAAAAATAAAAATATAGTTACGTATAAATAAATTTGATTCAAATCCGTTCAGCAGTATTTGCATAAAAGAGTAGCAAACGATCATCTATCCGTCCATCTTTACAAAATTCGCATTAGTAATATCAATAAGATTGAAAAAATTATATTTCAAGTATTTCTATTCAGAAATAAGTATATAGACTTACTCGTCGCTTGACGAACAAGTAAACACCTAAAACCAATATTCTGCTGCCAGTACGTATTGTAGATGTAGACATCCAGTAGAGAGGCAACACCTAACACTGCTAGTAAACTTTTAAAAGCTATTCCCTTTATGTGAAAACCTATAAAAATGTTATTTGGATAGCAAGTTTTCATGTACGTAGATTTGTTATATAAATTTATATTTTATTATAGTCGTTTATGCCTACATTCGCACTATAATGCGAGTCACGGTTAGTTCACAGTCTAGTAAAATATTTTCATGTCACAAACAAAAACACTTCGATAAAAGTAATCAACACCTAATGCAAAAATACATCGAAGAAAAAATACATTGCTGTAATATAAATAATGATCTCTAAGAAATTTTTTATCTTTAAATATATATATTTTTAAATTTTTTAATGTTATATTGGATTAAGTAATATTTTGTTATTATTTCTTCTTGTAAATAAATGTTCTTTTCTTCAATAATGATTATTTTATATTAAACAAGCGGCCCGCCCTGTCTTCGCTCTGGTGCAAATTAGGATTTATTGCACATATAAACCTTCCGTAAAAAATACAAAAATGACACTAATACAAGTTTATTAAATTCCGTTCACAGGCAAATCCGGAAAACAATTTTATTTGATATATTTGTAACAATGGTGGATTCGAGGTGACATTTCTCTAGTCCTCTTATGTTAATATTTTAATTTGATAATTTCCCGAAATTACTGTTTTTTTGATCTATCATAATCTAAATTTATAATAATATCGACTTAAATTTACTAAAAACATAGTTGATATTGGTCTTTACAATAAAGAATTCGTCTTAATATCAAATTGAAGTCTTATTTTATAGATTAGTTCATTGAATTGACTCATTTTCTCAAAATTGGTTTAATGAAGTGCAATTTTCTAACTAACTAGGCATAAGAGTAGGTAATGATTATAGTTGAAAATATTGAACCATGCCAACCATTCCTAATGTAGACACGAAATAAGCACATATCAATAAAGCTCCAACCTGTATTCAATTGATTATTTGAGTGCACGCTTGTTAAATATCACGAATAGGTATCTAAAATAATTTATTCTTGTCTTTTAACATTAAAAAACTGAAACAAACAACTAGAAGATGTCTATATGTAAGAGATATTTAAGAAAAAGTAACATAAGGGGTCTTAATTAGACTAATATATGCTAAAATAATATTTTTTGAAAATTTTGTCTATCTGCATGTTTGTTTCTGCTTCATACAAAAACTACTATACCATATTAAATGCGGTTTTCATAGTTGTATTCCTAAATATCTAACTAAAAATTGAATATATATATATATATATATATATATATATATTATCTTAATATACTATCTAAACATGGTATATTTCATGGGGTTTTCTACTTCTAAAATCCATGTGTACGAAGAAACGGGTACGAAGTTAGTTTAAAAGTAAATGAGACTTATAATAATATATCTATTATTTATTATTTTATCATATATTAAGTTCAATCAATAATCGATAGCAACAGTCAACAAATGCCTCTGACCACCCCATCAGGGATTAATCGTGTGCATTTTTTATATTTACTGTAACGACCTCCTACGCTAGAAGTATACTTCACATTAGGTAATGTAGCATGCGTCTTTTCACGGTTACCTAAACAAATTTTTGATGGTTGAGTCAACACACTTTGTGTTTATATTGAGATGCTGTACTGAAGTTATTTGTTACTTAAATACAGTTTTATATAATACTAGTTATTACACGCTACTTGGTCCGCGCGACCGGGATATTGTAATTAACCGAGACAAGAAGTAGCCTATGTTCTTTTTCATTCCAAATAAGTAATAAGTTTATAATTACGAGAACATGACGTTTAAAAGAAAATAAAATCACATTCACACTTATAATATTAGTATGAATACTCTATTAAATACCTTCATTATGAAACTAATCATCTTAAGTACATTTTCTTTTATTATGAGTAAAATCGTATCTCATATAAAATCAGTCGTGGGGAAAATCGTAACACGAAAATAAAACAGAGTTAAAATTTGATACGAAATCCGATGAAATGTGACGGTGAAGGGTACACAACTCAAAGGTTTTCACAAATTTATATGACCCCTGTGGATCCATTTACCCGGGCAGCGGTTTGCCGCTGTGCCATTAAAGTATCGGAAATAAGAGACAGCTGAAAAGAAGAAATACTTGTTACAGAAAATGGTTCATTATATTGAGTGGATATTTTTTTATATTATTAGACTACCAAAGAAATTATATTAAATTTATAAATCTGCTAGTAAAATTAGTTTAAAATAGAGTGAATTAGTTAAAAGAAAAATTAATGAACGTATATGTATAATATAATTATTATTATTACAAAGTAATATTTATTTTATTTATTATTTACTAGCGGCCCGCCCCGGCTTCGCGCGGGTACACATTACATCACATCACATTAGACACTTCTAAATTTATCAATGTTTCTCTACAATATTATGCATGTATTATACATATAAACCTTCCTTTTGAATCACTTTATCTATTAAAAAAAAAAAAACAAAAGCTGTTGCGTAGTTTTAAAGATTTAAGCATACATAGGGACGGACAAACAGCGACAGCGACTTTGTTTTATACTATGTAGTGATTGACCACATCACAAAGAATGTCTAGTACGAAAGGTGAACTTAATGTTATATTATTCTCTC